AATCTGCATGCCGGGAATAAATTAAAGGCACCAGCGTGCGAAGAAGAAGGAAAAACGATAATGTAAAGACAAAATTAATAAATGAAAATAAAAAAAAAACGAACGGTGAAAACTTTTATATGCGAGTTATGTTAGGAATTGATGATTCCCACTCACGAATTTCCTGTCTACCGTCGAGGGGAAATAATAGAATGCATAACGAATTTTATTGATTTTTCTCATTGAAAAAAATTGCTTTGACCCGAAGGAAGCGGACGCAAAGTGATATTTATTAAATACTAATTGATTTGTGTATTCAATTACTCTTGTCGAAATAAATTCATGTTTACATATTGATATATTATGAAAAATAGTTTTAATGATTTGTTTAAATGTTTATTTCATTCAATTTGTTATAGTTTTCGAGAAAATCACTAAAATTTATAAAATAAAATTCTTATTGGATTTTTGTAAAAATCGCAATTTTCCATTTGGATTTTGTTAAAAATAACGCAGTTTTCAATTTTTTTAGTTTTAGTACATTTCCAATTAGATTTTGTTGAAATATTAACCAAACCTAACCTAATCTAAATTGGACTTTGTTAATCGCAATTTTTCGATTTCTTCAATTTTAAAGAATTTCCAAACTGAATTTTTGTAAAAATTGCTGTTTTTCCTAATTGGATTTTGTGAAAGTCGCAGTTTGGTTAAAAAAACGATATTTAATAATAATTATTGAACTACAGACGTTCTGATTTTCATGCAATTTGAGTTGTGGATTCATTTTAATGCAAAAAAAATGAAAGCTTGTGTAGTCCGGTTATTTTGGAAGAGAATTTCCTGTCGACCATGCAAATAGAATGTAAACCGAAATGTTTCTTGAGAAACAAATCAACAACAGATCATATATTTCTTTATTTATACATGCTTTCAATAAGGCCTCTTCAATGCGTAAAGTTCTTTAAAGAATATTAATGAATACCATTCATTATATAAAGCTAACTGACTCATTGACTGCAAACAAAGAAATTAAAATTATTAAAGAATATATTTATATGTAATTATAACTTTTTTCTATTATGTGAATTAGAATTTTTTCATTTTTTATTAAAAATGGAAATAGGTTAATGTTATGATTAATGCTTCAGAAAGTTAAAACTAAATATTATAAGTGTCTAAATTATCTCTGGTCGATGTTCGGTAGACAGGAAGATATCGATTATGGGGAAAAGAAAAGGCGAACGAAAAAAAAATCAACAGTTATGTAATTGGTAATGATGTAAGTGGCTGGTTTTCTTGGTGTATATGGATAGGGTGATGATTGTTTTATGAATGTTGGTCGTGTCCAGCAACATGCGTCATTACAATGCACACGCCTGAATCATTTTTTTTCTGTGTAAAGTGAACGTAGTTGCGCATTGGAAGGAAGAAAAAGAAGAAGGCGTTATTTCTGAGACGGCGGTTACGTTTCCAAATAGTAGTTGGGATAGTGGCGGCGGGCTGCGAACGAAAACGGATAATCGATGATCCTGTGGAGATTCTGCTTGTCCCCTTTCCTTTCCATTTTTATTTTGCTCCGAGCGTATGCACATGCGACGTGACATGCACTTGCTTATGCGAGCTGCGTTTCGTAGTAGTGGATTGAACGAGGAGAGGAATTTTTCAATGAAACAAAACATGAAACCAGTTGCTGGTATAAAAGACGAGAAACGAAAAGACGGAGGAACAACTGAGAAGGATAGAATGTGAAGAGAATGAGTCGAGAGGGGAGGAGTACGATTTATCGCGCGTGCAGAGTTAGCCGTTGGTCAGAGTTGAAATTTGAACGTAAGGAGTTAATCCAATTTGCACCAAATTGTGAAAATGTAATTAGGGTTTGTTGACTTTTCCATATGATACAGGTGGAATGGTGATACACCCTTACAAGGACGAGGCTCTGCAGCCCTTTCGAAACGATCAAATATGCGCGCACATGTATAATGTTACAGAGGCATTACTCCTCTTGTGTTTGCTTTGGGAGCAAATTTCATAGCGTTTCCAGACCGGTTCTGGGACCCAAGTGCAGAAAACCGGTGGGGGCGTAAAAAGTGCCCGCTTTCGTTCGTGATAAATGTCGCTGGCTTTCCGCAGATTCCTTGAGAAATGGAGCAGGAAGCTGGAGATATGATACCAACTCATGAAGGACTTGTTTTTGCACAGTGCCCCAAATTGTGGTTAGGAGCCTCCTGGGAGGAACGAACGCCTGAACAGCATTAGCTATTCAGGTCTTCAGGTTCATTGGCCATTTGTAAAGCACGCCAGACGAAAACCATGCACCGGAACTACCGGCTTTAATTGTGTCCGTCTGCTCTGTGGTACATACGTATAGTCGTACCACGCCATGCGAACACAAACAAGCATTTTCCGTTTACGAAACACCTTTTTGGCAAATGACCAGGATTACCCCTTGTCGAACTTGAACTTGGACACCATTGCGCAACGCTTGGCTTCGTGTCAGGAACGGGAATGTAAACAAAGGATATCTCTGACAAACAATGCACTTTCGTCATTTTCAAATGGACCATAATCCTCTCACATCTGCGAACAATATACGAGCAAACATTTGCTACCAAACTCAAATCGGACTAAATCTATTTATAAGGCTAAAACTATAATAAAACAAAGAATAACACACGAAGCACGAGCTCTGTTTGTGCACTCATATCCTTTTTTTTTTTTGATATGCTGCCTCGCTTTTTAATTGGTTTCGTCTATTCGTGTTTCGCCAACATGTACATAGCAAACCATATTTGCCTTTCTAAATGGAGCGATAACCATTTTAATTGGAAGTTCACCAGCAATGTTTCAATTTATTAGCAAATAATTTCACGTAAAGTCCATTTTTGTGCATTTTTATAAAATTCAAATTTCAGGACCGGATTCAAGAATTTCTAAGTTATAAAATGAATAATGAAATCCCAGAAATTACTATATAAAACAGAAATTTTAAAATTCACAAAAAATAATTTTTAAATTTGTTAATAATATTTTTTTGTTAATTGTAAAATATATTTCATATAAAAGAAACCTTTGAATGTATGGATCATTTTATTGTTTTGACTTTAGTAAACATTGCGCCCCATGTGGTGAAGAGAAAGTGCTGTGCCTTGGGGTACACTACAAATAAACTTTAATTGCTCATTAAACGCTTTTCTTTTAACAAGTACCCAAAGAGAGATTGTATTTTAAGTAAATACAATTGTAAAAAAAATGTGTTTTTAAGCACCTGCGAAAAAATATTTGTTAAATTTGAAAATGATTTTGAATAGTTCCATTCAATTTCCGGTTATTATGTCATTAATCATAATAATTCTTTCAAGTGAATCGTTTGATGTATTCGTAGATAAAAATAGTCATCAGCAATCCTTTGCCCCATTACGAACGTCTTGTTCATAACTGATTATGTTTCGAGTGTTATGATTTCTCTTAGAACCTCTTTAAAACATCAGCGACGGTAATTAAGTGATCAGATTTCATCTATTTATATTCGTTTTGAAATAAACCAAAAGGAAATTGCTGTTTTCCTTCTTCCACACGATTTCCAGGTTAAATTCCAATTAGTAACGTCTCCAGTTATATTTAGTTGAAAATTATTTTTAATCCCATGAGGAGAAAGCCTTTGGAAAATTTACAATGTAAACACAATGAACCGTTGCATTCGTGATAAAAGGTATTAGATGAGTTTGTATTTTCGGAGATTTATAACTTAAGGGCGTGATAAATCCCTGCGGGAGAAACAACATAGAAAGAAAAAAATATGAAGGCAGACCGTGTCGTGACCATTAATCTAATCTGAATGATGCGTTTCAAGTGGGTCAAAATAGCTTCTAACTCGATGTTTTGCAGACGTCGCACGAAATAGTTTGTTGATTTTAGTTTCTTGTTTGTTGATAAACCACCGAGCGTGTGTTTATGAATACGTTATTGAGTCAGAACTGCGTAATACGTTAAGTCAGTGAATGTGAGTCAATTATTGAAGATGTAAATTAATACTCTTTCGTGGAAACAAAACGTTTTTGTTTTATATCGACACGAAAGGTTACTTGTTTCTAATAGAAAGTTGCTTGAAAATTTTCAGATGCTTTGCGTAATGCAAATTTGATTACGGTGCAATGCCGTAAGGTTACATACTTTATTAACGAACTTCAGAATATTTCACGTGCTAAATTTAGATCAAAACTATGATATAAGGATTATATTTATTGTAAGTTGAACATAACATATACTAAAGTTCTACTGTAGAACTAATTACCTAGAAATGTTATCGGGGATATGGTAAAACGAGCTATTGATATGCCTAACAGATGTTCGGTGAGAATGAATTAAATGTGAGATATGTGACTTAGTTTGGAGAAAATGAGCTTTGATAAAAATATGTATAACATGAGGAAGCACGAGGAATGTCCTCTGAGAGTATCCATGCAGTTGTTGCGTAAATTGCAGGAAATCTCTTGAGGTTTGAAGGAGGAAGGAAAGGAGGGAGGCTGCAAGGAATGCATGAATAGAGGAAATGTCGTTGAACGTGAACGGAGATAACGCTTATATCGGTCGTTTGCGAATCGTTCCGTTCCTTCGATTTTCGTTATCGGCTCGATTTATTAATAAAGTAGTTTGCGCAAACAGAGCAAGAACGATAAGAGAGATACAGAAAGAGAGAGGAAGTGGAATAAAGTAATGACTTTTTGGGACATCCGGAGCGTGGGCGATGATAATATGGTATGCAAGAGAAAGATCAGGGCGTTTAGTAGTTCTGGGCTTCTTTCAGCGACAGATGGATGCAATCAGAATGTAATTGCTTTCTGCGGCTTACCTTTAGGGCACATGTTGCCCAATTCTGAAGACACGTTCGAAAGCGATACCTTCAGGGCACTAGCATTAACTTAATTACTTTTACTAATTATCCGAGATTATATATTCCATTGTTGTATTTTTTTTCTATAAATTTGTTTCTTTACTCTAATTGTTTCTTTTTCTCATTTTAGAGCTCGAAACTACTTCAGGACTAAGAACCAAACATCGACGTAACACGTACCAGCCATAACTGACCATGCCTTCCACAAGTAAGATGTAGCCTGGTACACCTTTAATAGCCTATAAGTTCCCAGTAATTACTAATACTCTACACATGTTCTATTGCATATATTTCAATGAACAGTAAGTTTAGACTAAATTAGATTATTGTTTAGCTAACATTAAAAGAATATCTACTAATATTAAATCTATATTATAATAATTAGAATAATAAAAAATGTGGTATTTTTTTATTAAGTAACGTATTTCGTAGAAATACTTCATTATGTATGATGATTAATACTTCTAAACAGTCAACAGGATAATTGTGAATTTTCTTTAAAAAATGTTAGGCTTTATCACGTTTTATTAGTTGCGCTGTAATAATTCTTATCGTTATGTACAAAAGTGTAGGTTAACTTGTCACCATTTTTGTTTTAGCTCGTTGTGTTAGTGCGCTTATTTCTCTAGTTATTAATTCTGTTTTTTCATGTGTGCAATTGAAGACGCCGTTGCTTCTGTTGAATTTTAATGTAGGTGGCAATGACTTCGACCGTCGGCGAAACGAGTACGATGAGCAAGAGGAGGAAGTTGCAGTATAACGAGATCCTAATTAATTATTGTCTCCATCGTCTTTCGGATGGGATTGAAGAGAAGAGAAAACATGTTAATTGAGCCACGCGCATCTTTATTTGTTATCCTGTCAGCACTATTGAAGATTATTGGTAGCTTCCTAATGCTTCATATTTGAAATATAAATTGTTTGTTAGTAACTGTATACATACATATACCACTTGCAAGAGTTAATCTAAATATTCTAGTTATTTTTAGTCTGAATGAGTACTCTATTTTATTGGTTCAATCTACTTAATGAAATTGCTTATATTATTATTACTTAAGAAATAATAAATAAATCGAGTTGCATTAATGCTGCCCTCCTTGGAATGGGTCGAGGTGCACTCACGACGGCCCTGGATGTCGATGATGAAATTAGTTAAGTGAACTTTGCAACAGTCGCGACGCGGATGACGAGAGCGCGCTTATTTCGAGAGAGTAAAAAGTTTTCGGTTATTTTTAAACGCGAAGAATGTCTTTCGCTGTGGCAGTCGCGCCAGCAGCAAGAGATGTCGTTTTGTTTCCTTCTTTCCTCCCAGGAGAGGAGGCCGCTCATCCTTTTTGCATTCTGCACGTTTTAAATATAACGCACGGCCGCAATCTAATTTCGCGAGAAGAAGAGGTATTTCCACTCGACCGGCCGCAGGATAACGCGTCGATTGTGCAACGGTTGCGCAATCAGATTGTCTTCGCTCGGGCGCCACCCACTCGCCATCCTTTTTGGATACAAGCTTACATCATGAATTGAATTTGAAGGAGCCTAATCGTTGTTGTTTTTCTTTGCTGTTGCTACAAAAATGTTTTTTTTCTTGTAGATTTTGAAAACTCGGCGCTGAAGATGAGCTTCTCGTTGTCTTCGTTGCCGGTGACTGAGACGCCAGAGAAGGGCGCCATCAAACCGCGCGAATTCAACAGCTTGAAGAAGAAGCGTAGGGAGTCCCTGAAACGCTTATCCTGGGGTAGCTCCGCTAGCGAGCACCGGGATAAGGATGAATTTTGGTCCTCGGCCATCGTCGAATCCAGCTACAATTTCATTATGGACAATCAACTGATCGACAATTGTCAAGTGAGTCAGCGCGTATTTTCAGCTGCTCTTTAACGCATTTCCAGTGAACCTCAAGATAGAAAATACCTGTTGGTTTATAAATAAGAGCGCGCATCCTGTCTCTCCGCTTTCCTCCTAAGCGCCCAACGGATACACATGGCTATTTTCAGCTTATAAATTTTCACTTAAGGCACATCCTAAGCGTTCCACACTAATCGCCGCTGCATTTCAGCGGATCCCTCTTCCTCCACTTCCTCCTCCATTTACTTACTTTCAGTTATATACAAATTTTAATTTTCTATTCCTAATTTTGTTCAAACACGTTGCAGGACGCCAATTGCGAATTAAGTTCAGATACAAACATATGGTCCATAAAGGAATTAGACGCCCACTTTTCCGAACTCTACTCCTGGTTGAATAGTATTCAGGAAAAGATCTACGGCCACGAGGACAACGTCACGGATAAAACACTCAGAGCTGTAAATCGCCCACAAATCGAATCACGAACGAAGCTTCTTAATCACGCCGCTCGCGGTGGTCTCTGCTTCCTTCCTTCTTTTTCAGATATGCAAAACTAAGCTACTCGAGAAGCAGGAATTCTACAACATCTTCAACGAGCAGGGTAACAAGCTGATCGCTAAGCATCCGGAACTTAAAGAGAGGCTCAACTGGCACTTGAACTTCCTCGGAAATAAATGGGAAGTTCTACAGTCGGTCCTCAAGTCCTCGGACCCTGAGGAGAGCGACACCATAGGTTTGTTCAGAGCATCTTGCGGCGGTTCTTGTTTCTAAACGTTTCCTTTCAGACATCGAAAGGGAAGTGAAGTGTCTGAAGAATTGGGTTCGGAATCAGTTCAAGAGCCTGCAGCCCCTCTCGTTCCAAAAACGCTGGAGCCGCAGCGAAATCGAAACCAAGGCTATGGAACATAAGGTATTTAGACTAACAACTCACTCACTTTAACGGCAATTTACTAATTTATGCAACCAATCGCTTGCGTCCGCAAATGCAGCGGTTGCATAAACCGAGCCGTATGCAAATCCGCTTCCCCATTAATTATGTAATTACTTGCATAGGGCACTTCCTTTTTATGCTCATCCACACTTCATTTCAAATAATTACCATGGATTTAACGTTTATTACCAAGGAAATTGATAATAATGCAGTTTTGATGATCAAATGGTGAATCACCAGATCCCGAAATAGATGTACTCTCTTCAAAATTAGACGATCTATGCTGCGTGTTTCCATTTCTATCGTGTCCAGTTTTTTATACGTAATTATTATAAAGCCCAAAGAAAGCCTTATTGTCTGTAATGATCGTCATTATGATCATTTGGAAAATAAGATCCTGAAATAGGTCTACGAAATTAGTCTAGTTTCGACAAATAATTTATCATTTTAAACAGATCTCAAAATAGAGCGACTTTAAACTTAGAAAATGGTCATCAATTTATTAATTAATCGGTATAATTAGTTTTCTTCTGATTGTTATCTTACTTTAATTAGTCCATCATCTAGTGCATCTTGATCATAATTGAAGTAGGTGTAGAATCGGTTGATATATTTCGTCGACGGAAATGGTATCATAAATAAGTGTGCGATGAATAGAAGCTGATTTTGATCGTACAATTACTTCCGTTGAGATATTAAAAAGATCAATTTTTTATATCTAGACCTGCTTCTGTAGACCTTTAAGAAATTTGTAATGTTTGTTTTATATCATGTCGTGAGATGGATCTACGAAAGTAGACCGCGCCATCAAAGCTCCACCATCCTTGGGGGTCTCTTATATAATCCTGACATTTCATATTTGTTCCGTGTCCAGGCCAAACCCATCAGAAGATTGTAAAATGGCGCGCGTGAAAGAAAATGTCGTGCGAGATTTTCCATTTCAAATTCCCATTCGCATTGGAATGGGAACAACTGATTGGGAGAAAACTGGCACTCTGGTATTAGCGATTGTGGTGCGGTCTTTCCATGATGGCATGCGACTATACTCGATCATCGCGCATTCCTGGTAGGCATTTTTGCCGCGATATTTCCTTACCAGCACATGCCGTACATCATTTTAATGCTAATTTCACCGATCCTTGAGCAAAACCGGCTGCGCGTTATGTCACATGAACGTGATTTAACTATTTAATCCTTTCACGTCACATTATGATTTTCGTTAGATTCGTTAAGTCTTGAATATAGATACGCGATTTATTTTCCGATCACTTCCTTTCATGCTGATTATGTTGATCATTGGTATATTGTTAAGTCATCGAACTCTCTTTGCTTACACAAGTCTGGACCAAATCTATAATATCAATATACATTTATAAATTATTTAATATAATCTATTATTTGTCAACG